TTTTTTTACTCATTTTCCCTCCTTACAATCACTTTTTTCAAAATCTATTACCAAAATCTATTAATTCTAACACCTCCTGAAACTTGAAAGTTGCATGTTGACATTGAAACATGAAAGTTGCATGCGAGGCCATGTCTAGGCTTAGCAATTCGCATTGTTCGCCTATGCTTCCCGCAACCACGACCACCGTGATCCTTTTTTCTCATTTAAATTTTCACTTGTTGCCTTGTCGGTGTACCAATTTCAACCCTCAAATGATCTTGAATTATCACGGAAAAAGGAACCCAGGTAAATCATCTAGTGCAATTTTGTTAAGAAACAAAATTAATACCCCTGCAAATCAAGTAAAAATGTGCCAATTCAGTATGCGACGCTTCAACATCATTACCATTTTGAGGATTGTCTTACTGATGGTTCTTTTTGTTTCTTTTTTTTTTTTTCCCGGTGTACTTGTGGTTAAAAGTATAGGGGATTAACCAGGAAATAAATTGTGTAAACTATAGGGATGTGTTTAAGGTGAAGATTAATGCAATTGCAAATGCAAACTATGAAAACAATATATTAATATTTCCTTTTGATATTTTGCGGAGCAAAATTAAGGCGTTGGTCTCTCACGTTCGCCACCAATCCATGGTTCGTGCTCACGGCCGCCGTCGGTGAGCTGACACAGTTGAGAAGGCCGAAGTTGACTAAGCGGCATTGCTCGAGGCCGTTGGCACCGCGGAAGGGGATAATCTCTACTCTGTTCTCTATCTCCATCTTCTTTGAATATTAATCGTTTTGAAGTTCTGGATGGTGCCATGCTGTTTTGTTGGTAAGTAGTCATGGTTTTTTTTTTAAAAAAAAAGAAGATTCTATCCCTCCCCTGACTTTTGAGTTGTCATGTTTCCTATTATGTCGTGCCTCGTTACTTTGTCAACATGAGTGCCATTTGCTGTAATGAAGTTTTCTTTTCTTTTGTTTTTTTTCCCCCCGAACAATTTTGAGGTTGACTGTTGCTTATTATTTGCATGCAGAATTTGAGCGGCATGGGGAGTGCTGGAAGCTTGTGGCACATATCAAAGAAGAAACATGTGGCTTTAATACTTCATTGTTACGAGAATTTCTTATCAGTTGTCCGTCCTAGTCTTCATATGTTAGTGCAGAGGATCCCGATATTCATGTTCAAATCAGAAATTGTCTATTACGAAAGTTCTTTTTGAACAAAATTATGCCAAGGCCAGTTGATTTTCAGATTTTATATCAAATTGTTGCTGAATTTTACTTCCATAAGCACTGCCATGAACGTCCGTGCATTGGCCAATCGTTATGCAGCCCAACTCAGTCTATGCTGCTCCCTCAGTCCCATCAACTGTACCTTGGCTCGAGCCATCCATGCTCACATGATAACTTCTGGGTTCAAGCCATGGGGTCACATCCTCAACCGCCTAATAGATATATATTGTAAATCATCCAAGATTGGCTATGCCCGCCAATTGTTCGATAGAATTCCCATGCCGGATATTGTTGCAAGAACCACATTCATTGCCACGTATTCTGCGAGGGGTAATATAAAGCTGGCTGAGGAAATTTTTAATAAAACCCCATTGGTTATGCGAGACACTGTTAGTTACAATGCCATGATTACAGCCTACTCTCATCATGATGATGGTCATGCTGCTATTGAGCTCTTTCGACAAATGAAGCAAGAAGGGTTCAGTCCTGACAATTTTACCTTCTCCAGTGTGCTCAGCGCATTGGCACTTGTAGCCGATGATGAAAAGCAGTGCCAACAGCTGCACTGTGAAGTAATTAGGTTGGGATTGGGGACAGTGACATCAGTACTAAATGCATTAATATGTGCTTATGTTCATTGTGCATCTGCACCACACGTATCTTCAACATTGTTGATGGCTGCTGCTAGAAAGTTGTTTGATGAAATGCCTCGGAGGGATGAAACGTCATGGACAATAATGATTACTGGGTATGTCAGGAATGATGATCTCAGTGCAGCTCGTGAATTACTTGATGGGATGACAGAGAACACAGAGGTTGCTTGGAATGCAATGATTTCTGGTTATGTGCATCATGGACATTATGAAGCAGCATTTGACATGTTCAGAAAAATGTATTCTAGGGGAATTTTAAAAGATGCATATACCTACACAAGTTTGATTAGTGCTTCTTCTAATGCTGGTTTGTTCAAATATGGGAAACAATTGCATGCTTATATTCTGAGAACAGAGGTGCAACCTTCAAATGACTTTCTATTGTCGGTGAATAATGCTTTAGTTACATTATACAGTACATTTGGTAAACTAATTGAGGCAAGACATATTTTTGATAAGATGCCCCTTAAAGATATTGTTTCATGGAATTCAATTCTGTCAGGTTATGTCAATGTTGGCTGCATTGAGGAAGCTAAATCCATTTTCAGAGACTTGCCTGAGAAAAATCTCTTAACATGGACTGTGATGATATCTGGCTTAGCACAAAATGGTTTTGGAGAAGAGGGATTGAAGTTATTCAACCAGATGAAACTGGAGGGGCTCGAACCATGTGATTATGCATATGCTGGAGCAGTTAAATCTTCTGCTGTTTTAGGATCATTAGAGAATGGACGGCAGCTTCATTCTCAGATTATCCAGTTGGGCCATCATTCAAGCCTCTCAGTTGGCAATGCATTAATTACTATGTATGCAAGATGTGGTGTTGTTGAATCTGCTTATTCCATGTTCCTTACAACGCCTTATGTGGATTCAGTGACCTGGAATGCCATGATTGCAGCCCTTGCACAACATGGACACGGTGTCCAAGCTATTCAACTTTATGAGGAGATGTTGAAGGAAGATATATTACCTGATAGAATAACTTTTCTCACAGTTCTTTCTGCTTGTAGCCATGCAGGCTTGGTTAAAGAAGGACGTTATTATTTTGACACAATGGGTGGTTATGGTATAACCCCAGGAGAAGATCATTATGCTCGTATGGTTGATTTGTTATGCCGTGCTGGTCTGTTCTATGAAGCAAAGAGTCTAATTGAATCAATGCCTTTTAAGCCAGGTGCGCCAATTTGGGAAGCTATTCTTGCTGGTTGTCGCATTCATGGGAACATAGATTTAGGCATTGAAGCTGCAGAACAACTTTTTGAGCTAATGCCTCAGCACGATGGAACCTATATACTCCTTTCCAATATGTATGCTACTTTAGGTCAATGGGAAGACGTAGCCAAAGTAAGAAAACTAATGAGAGAACGAGGGGTTAAGAAGGAACCAGGTTGTAGTTGGATTGAAGTTGAAAACAAAGTCCATGTCTTCTTAGTTGATGATACTGTACACCCTGAGGTTCAGGCAGTGTACAAATATCTAGAACAATTGGTATTTGAAATGAGAAAATTGGGGTACATCCCTGATACAAAGTTCGTATTACATGATATGGAATCTGAGCATAAGGAACTTGCTCTGTCTACCCACAGTGAAAAGCTTGCGGTTGTTTTTGGAATTATGAAGCTTCCTATAGGAGCTTCAATAAGAGTTTTTAAAAACCTGAGGATTTGTGGGGATTGCCATAATGCATTCAAGTTCATTTCTAAAGTGGTGGTGCGTGAGATAGTTGTTAGAGATGGGAAGAGGTTTCACCATTTTAGACATGGCGAATGTTCTTGTGGTGACTATTGGTAAGCAGAGGTTTGGTTACTTGATTATCTATCAAGGGAGGTCTATATCAAAAGTTGTAAATGGGTTTGAAGCATATGAAGTGGGGTATTAGCAATCTGGGATCCAAAATTGAGACTGGCAGTGGCTTCAAAATGTTCTACTAAAGATTAAAAATCAATCGCAATAGGTATATTTATTTTATTCCTTCCTTTTCTTTTGGCATTCTTTTTACTAACTCTTGCTTAGGTTGAACCAATACACTGTATCATGAGGTCTCTGCTTGATTTTTTTATTGCTTTTTTTTAATTATTATTTCACTAGTCTTCCATATGATGTTTTTCCTTTCATTTACATTCTTCTGACTTCTGTTTTCCTAATTTTGTTTCTTTACTTTCCTCTCACTATTTAGTGAAATATCCTGATTTTAGTTCTTCTGATATTTCTTTTTTAATTTTGCTTCTCTTCTCTCTCTTCTTGCTTTATGTGCTTCAAATAGGGGTCATAAGTATCGGATATACCTTCCGTAACAGATGAAATGTGGTTGCTGTTTGAGGGGCCTCATGGTAAGCAGGCTCCTGATCAAGATTACTTTCATCGTATTAAGCACAGCGCCAAAGCAACTATGATTGTCCATACCTGTTGCTTTATTTTTATGGTATTAGTCACTTTAATGTTATCCATCTGGTTAGTACAGTGACTGGTGCTAAATAGCTTTGATGGATAGGTTGGGGAAGTAGCGGATCATCCTGAACGTAGAGCTCTGCCCTGTCATGTGCTTTCCATTGCTTATTTTCGCATATAATGTTTTCAAGCACACAGAAAAAGTTTCCATGTTGGCAATCTGACATGCAATTAAAATTTATAAATTGACCTGGTTATATTTTTTCTTATTTCTGTTGGTTAATAGATTGGAAGATTCAATCTACGATCTACTTTCTTCTACCCTGGAAAGATCTTTATTGCCATGCTTAAGTTTCCCGTGCATCATAGCATGGTTATAACTGACTGTTTTTCTTTCCACTCAATCATCAAAATAATATTAAACTTAAATTACAATTTTGAATCTGGCAATTTGCGCATATAATAGGCTGTTTGGTAAAATCTTAACAACATCAGATTCGCCCTCTTCCCCGGGGCCCTTGCCATTCTGTCTCCCTTGTGTTAGGCCCATTGTTATTAGACGTTTTAGGGTCAATTGATTTTCATTATGAGTTTAATTAGTAACATTAGCTAATGAATGTAGTCGCAATATTAGCAACATAGGAATGGAGGATGACATAAATTTTTTCTTTTTCTTTTATCCAAAAACACAGGTGGCCGTTTGGATGATTAAATGTAGAGCAGCTAGTATTTTGAAAGGAAAGATAACTAACTGAAAGCTAAATAGGAACTGAAATCGAAGCATGAAAGTTGCATATGAAAGAGAGCTGACTAAAAGGTAAATATTATCTGAAATTGAAGCATGAAACTTGCATCTATACTTTGGTCTAATCAGCAGACAGACCAATCTATCATTCTTTTTTCAATCCATAGATAAAGAAAACAAGGAACCTAGGCCAATTATTGTATCTCTGAAATTGGTTACTTGAAACTGAAGGTGTGTATGGTATCTCGTTTGCTTGATACTCATTGATTACTTTGATATTTGCCCTCCCTAATCCATCCGGTGCAGGCAGGGCCATACAATCTTAACCCCTTGTGAGCTCAGCAATCAAGAGCTCATTCCATGCGTCAGGAACTCCTGGAAGACACCAATGGCTGCAATCCATGCCAATGTGCCTTCCTGGTATACCATAAACAGAAGGATGTGCATCTTTTCTATGCTGTGACAATCGTGTTATGTTAAGCAGATGTACCCTCTTGGACATGCTGCCTATCACTCTCTCTAGTATCACTTGAGCTGGAAGCCTTTTTCTTGGATGTGGAGGACCAAACACTGGCCTTGTTTCTTCACCGCAACTGTCTCCGTCATAGTTCCCCCAAAATTTAGCACTGGCAATAATGAGATGTCTATGCTTGACTGTTTGTTCTTTCTTGTTAAATATAGTGAGTGAAGAATGGTGAATATTGTACCGATGAAGAATATGAACAAACAGGTAAATGGTTTCAAATTTTTATCTAAATTATTTACCTTAGATCATGAGTTGCTTCAAAATTTAGTAATGGTGAATATAGTACTAATGAGACGGCATTATCCTTTTTTTCTTGTTAAAAAGTACATTGCGTTACGGATGGTGAATTATATTGCAATCAAGGCTATAAGTAACTGGTAAATGATTTTGAGTTTTTTAATCTAAAATTATTGGACTTACTTCATATGGGTTGGTGAAATCCCTTGGAAGAATACTTTGGTTTTGGTAAAATCAATGTTCTCATTCACCCACTGAGCCCATGTTAACAAGGCTTTCTCGTAGGCAACCAAACGATCCATGTCCTTATATAAACGATCCCCATCTGTAACGAAATCCCACCTGTATGCCATTCAAAACCATTACGAACAAATCACCCCGTGAAACAAATGATAAAAGTAAAAAAAAGCTTAATGTTCCTTTTTTAAGGTCATATAGGTGTGATTACACTCTCCTTAGTTATATGTTCATTTATGAACCATTGTTCATAATTTTCTACACATGATATCTCTCAGCAAGGTCAAACTTCATCACAATTAGATCTACTTTTATATTCTAACCTTTTAAAAGTCTGAAAGCTTGAGAGTCCGGGTAAATGAAATATTAGAGAGCTCAGTCTCCTTTGTTCCTAATGGACTGTATGTTTAGACTAGTTGATATTGTTGTTTTTGAATGAGAACATTCAGCTCCATCTATCCAATAACAGTGCCCGCTAAACAGATTCATCTATATGGGTAAATAGTCTTGTGTTCTTACGGTTGTTTCCTGCCACGGTGAAGCCACCAATGCCATGAGTTGAACACCAAGACATGGCTCCCTTGCCACAGTTCAGCATCGTTGTCAGCAATGGCGTTCAATTTTAGAACCCTCCCCCATGACTTGTGAGCAATGTCTACCAGCAATGCGTTTCTGGAAAGTATCAACGACACGTTTTGTTTCTACACAAAAAGCACATGATTGTTTGTTATCCAGCATGAAATATGAAAGAACCCAACCTCAGTTGTAGGAGCTGACCATAATCCTATTTTCGCTTGTCTTGTTGAACATTTTTACAAGACACCCTCTTCAAAAACCTTATGGAGGCTCCCTAACAAGTTTTATCTAGTTCTTCATTGAGGCATTGGATGGTGGACATGTTTGCTTTTAATGACTTTGGCCTTACACCTGATCTTTTGTTTAGTTCTTCCCGTTTCTTTCTGGAACAAGGTTCGGGTAAAAAGGGTTGACTCTCTCTCTGTCTGATATGCGTATACACAACTTCAATTTTGTCATGCATATTTACGCGCACACAGCTTCAATTTTGTCCAGCATGTTTGCAAAAAATTCTTGTCTTGTGCACAGGAATCATGATTTCGTGGGAAATGTGAATCCATCGAAACTTGTGAAAGTTTGTTATGTCATCATAAATGATAAGTTGCACAACATATATTGAAGAGCATCTGAAATTCTATCATATAGTTAGTTCAATGAAAGATGGAAGAAGAATAAAAGCTGACCAGAAAGGTGAAGGTAGAGACCCCTTGGACTCGCTCTAACAAGTATTCAGAATGAGGAGATCGTGAATGAAGCATGCAGGTGAGTGACTGCCACTGGTTCAAGCTTATGGAGTCTCCCACAAATATTATTCTCTTATTCCTGTACTTCTCCAGGAACTTCCTTGCACTAAACCTGTGTCACATTATTTGCCACACACATTCATAATTATAGAATTCACTTTGGAACTTTAAAAGTTGAAAATCATCTTTCTATGCGATGTCAAAAATTCACAATTCATCAAGAGAAAAAAGGGGGGGGGGTTGAAAGAAGAAGAGGATACCTTGGTAGGTCACATGAATTGGGTTTCCATCTATATTTGAGATAAAGATCATCAGGACGACCATTTTGCTGGCAATCAAATTCAAACTCTATGAAGGAACACTGGCTTGAATTGTAAAGTGGGTACGAAGAATCATAAAGCCATCTTCCATTGTATAGATCACACCCCTCAAGCTCTTCTTTTTTCCCATTCACAACCCCAATAAATGGCACTAGTATGACCACCAAAATTAGAGCAACAGAAGCAGCCATTGCTAAAAGAAAAACAAGTATATATCTGAATCCTTGCTAAAGCGTATGCTTTGGAAGCTTAAATAGAGAATGGGTACACACATATGTAGTGTTTGCAATTGGTTTTGTTGTCTTGGATTTATGTACGATGGAGATGAGATGGTTTGCTTTAGAGAAGGAATTTATTATGGTGAAAACTGAAATCATTTCGGCGACAGTCACGAGGCGTGGAGGAATTCTCACAATCTAAAGGTGCTCCTGTGCTCCAAAGAAAATTGCTGTTTTTTCCCCTTCCACATTGATGGTTGCGTTTCTTTTTCAATAAATATAGGCGTTCATCAACATTTAATCGGAGCAATGAATTGTTCAATTTTGTCTTTATGAATTATTAGTGTCTTGAATTTATGGTGTGTTATTTACTTAATTGTCTTGTGAAGGAAACGAGGGCATTCTGAATTCTGACTGAGGAAGGAAAGGAATTTATTTAATAATTTTTAGATGAATTATACTAATCTTTTATACTGACCCAATAATTTAATTAATCGATCGGGTCTATTTGCCAATTCATTAAATATGGTTACAATCGGGTTTTAATTGCATGGATCTATTTCCCTATTTACTACAATAATGCCTTAATCAATCAATCAATCACACATCTTGCAATTTAATAGTCATTTGCATTTATTGGGGGTCCAAATTCTCCACATATTTGAGAAATGCATAGAGTAGTGTTAATGTTTTTTCTTTTGTTTTTTTTCCCCAAAGGTAACCAAAAACCTTGAGATACTGTTCTACAAAATATTAGAATGGTATTTTTTTGGTTCTAAATATAAACCCTTATACTAGTGTGTATAAGGGTCTTATATTTAGAACCCGATGAGCATCTACAATTTACTGGTCAAATTATGTTTCGTCAAGTTTAACTCAAAAAAAAAAATTATGCCTCCTCAAATTTCTATGATGGTTTAAATATAACTAGAGAATTAGATCCATATCATGAGTATAATGAGTTATCAATTACTATAATCAATTTGCATCTTTAAAGACGTTCTCATTGATACACACACAAGCAAACTTCTTTGTTTGGAAGAAAAAGGAAGAACATTACACGTTTATTTATGCTCATCTTTTTTTTGATAACAAAGGAATCCTCATCAAGGTTCTACATGATCATCTAAAGCAATATTAGTGCGATCCAGAGCCAGAATTGAAGCCAGTTCCCTGGGAACTTCAGAAACAATATGGAAGCCTCTCACAGCTTCAAGTTCTCTTTTGGCCATAAAATCAGCAGCTTTGTTGCTCTCCCTGTTCACGTAAGCCAGTCGCACGTTCCAATTCCTGCTTAAGAGGGTCCTAACCTCTTGGAGAACATTATAATCAGCATGGCAGACCTCAGGTTCCACAAGCACAATGGCGTTCGCAGCATCAGATTCAAGAATAACATTTCGATGGCCATCATCCCAAGCAATTTTTAAGCCATGCAGGCAAGCCCATAATTCAGCAGACAGAGCATCTCTTTCATCAAGTTTATAAATAAAACCCCGGAGAAAATTTTATGCTCGTCTTAATCTAAATCATTCATGTTAATTTTGAATAGCTGATACTTAATTGAATTTTTTAAATAATAATTTTTTATTTTAATAGATACAAAATTTAAAACAAAAGTAATCTTATAATTGACACTTTTTTTTAAAAAAATTATGATTAAAAAATTGAAAATTAAAAATTTTAAATTAGGATTTTCCAAAGCAAATTTTGGATGGTCCAAAGTTTATCACAAAGCTAGAATATATGAGAAGAGTGACGTCAGGAAATTCCCATTTACACTCTGAGTACCTCCCACCCAATTTCTTTGCTTCGCTTGAATTTTGTTGCCCTCCCATTCTGTTTCTAATTTTTTTTAATTAAAGGAACAAGTGAGATTACCAACAAAATAAACCTACAAACTCCTACTTATAAAGAAATTTAGGAGAATAGCAATGAAATTCCAAAAAAAAAAAAATCAAAAACAAAATCTCATGATAACAGAACACTTTGTGATGACAAATTTTAAGTTAAAAATCACAAAGTTTTAATTAATCACTTATCATTGAATTTTTTAGTAATTATACTTTTTTTTTAGAACCTCACGTGATTCTCCCAACAAACTTTCATGCTACCGTCTTACAAGAATATAGGCCCATTTTGTTTCTATTAAAATGGCAACAAATGTCTGGTAAAAAAAAAACAAGGCAGCAAATGCCAATAAGACACATCATTACCCTAACTGAAGCTAGATCCAAATTTGATACCAAATGCCACCCCTTACACTGAAAAAAAAAAGGTGGAACAAATCGTCGATGGAAGGAGTAACACTGCAACTCAATTGAATAGTGTAGGAAACGTCCGAATAGCCCTTGTATACACAACCAGAATTATATCGATGATAATTTGGTCAATTATTATACCTTCTCCATTTTTATCATGTTCCTACTCTACCAAGTACAATAAAGCAAGAAATAGTTCTATCTTGTATAAAACATGCCAAACAAGGTATAAAGTAATATCATTCCCTCCACGTTCCTTTATAATCCCTTCCAACATACCAAACCCACCATTATGTTATTCTGTAATAATTTTTTCCCCATGATAATATTTGCTTTCCCTTTGAGAAAGAGAACACCTGATCTAATAATAAAAATTAAAAAGTATAATACATACCATTATATCCCAGTATACTCATACTCAAGTTTTTGTCTTTGTACATAACAGTAAAGAAGGATATGGCTCGTTGTTTTTTTGGCTCATTCACAACAATGCCATTGCGAGCTTCAGAGCAGCATGCAAAAGAAGACAAATAGATTGTCCGAGCATAGATACAATCACTCATTTTTTCCCTCCATGACTGAATAATTAATAAACATGCATGAAGTTATCACATATACAATGATAGAGATATGGGTAGATATCAGAATTCCAAGTATGATACCAGCTCCGTCAACTTCAAACTTTAGGGATAATAATTTGTAAGAATCCATCCCTGAAATAGAAAACCAAAAAATTCATCGGTTTTCACTGATGTAAATAAACTGATATTTTCATGTACCTAGGAAATTTCCAGTGTATTATAGTTCTTAGGATTTACCTATAGGCTAAAACCACTTTTAATCAGTGACATAACCTAAGAAGTTAGGGAAGCCTGACAACCTCTGTATGTTTAAAATCACATCTCAAAAACCATAATTACTCAAACTTTATTTGAGCTAATGAGATAATGAAGGCAACGCAGCAGGCTCTAGGTCAAAAAAATAATGTGATCCTATATATTGATCTATGGGAGGATTGGGCACATGATTTTCTATGAATCATCTGAAGCATAATTAAGGTTAAAAGCTGTATTTCTGTGAGAGAGGGTCGGCATAAAGAAAATGAATTAATATGAAGACGCCATGCAACTTACAAAAACTCAGCAGATACTCTGTCCTTGTTGACACCAGCAGGAAGTGGCCAAACTGCTTCATACGGTCCATATAATATCTCTCTTCTATGATATGAAGAAAATGAACCATTGGGATTACCCATGACTCTCCAAAAGCTAGTGGAACGTTTGCCTTTGACAGACAACCTATAACAGCACACAGCAGCATTTCAATCAGAAATGAAGACTGTCTAAAACTTCGAACAATTTATACACAAGATCAAGAATGGCTTTGATCATATAGTGGTCCTCATATCTTTTTCCCCCCTTCAACTTCATGTGTTGAATTGGAGACCATAATGGCTGTAGATAAGAAATGCATCTTACTTTTGATCATCAACCTCTACTCTTATGTCCTTGATACTGACACCTGGCACTTCCACTGTCATAACATATTTTCCTTCTGATTCTGCAACATCCATCCTTGGGGACCACTCAACTCCTGCGACGAAAATTACAACAAAATTTAGTTTCAAATACTGTTATATAGAAAATGCAAGATAATCTCATCCAATATGTTTTTCATTACTAGAAAGGCAAAATGACAATTATAAGATTCTGCATTGCATATTGTTGACATCATCAAGAACTCAAACAGATCGTTTTGAGCAAAGATAAAGTTTAAAGAGAGAAAACTCAAGAAGAAGAACAAGAGGCATTATTGAAGTTAAACTTTAATCATGCTTATTCATTTAACTTGATAAGGTTTACATAAACAAGAATGTGAGACCCTAAGGATAAGGCAATGCAATCCACAATAATTACAATAATCACAATAACCAATGTGAGGGGTAACCTAAATAGAATAAGAAATTATAATACATAGAAAGCACAAATCACTCCAAATCAACAGCAATCAAGTAACTGATCCTATTGTACAGACGCCACTGATTGCTTGCATGAAGACTATTTTGATTTACAGAACTCTCACTTAACATGAAGACTTCTGGAGACAGAGACAAGCAAAAAGTCCTTGTTCCTCTATCAACAAACTCAATCTGTTCCCCATACCATTTAAATTAGCAGGAAGGACAGCAAACTTCTAATGCAAGGAGCGGAAACTGTCAACTAAAACTTGAAGCTAAATGGAACCCCCTTTAAAAAGGCAGTAGAGAAGAACGTCAAAGAGGTACCAGAAACAGAATCCAGCTAGAGGACTCCCTTTCTTGGATACCTAATCCCAAATAGATGGAATTAAAGCTGCTTGCCATTGTTATTTTAGCAAAGTTTGTGACCACAAACAGAAAACAATTCAGAATTATAGATTCTTTTTCCACGAGATCCTAACAATACAGAGTTCAAAACACTAACCACTGACTTCAGAACGGCACATTTTCTTCTCGGAAGGTAACCACTCTTCTTTTGCTGTCAGTCTGCCTGGCCTAGCGAAACTAGGAGGGTTGGGTGCCAGAACATCGTAGCTCTGGACCAGGGGTTGGCCCATTGAAACATTTGAGAAGTTGGATTCAGTCCTTGTAGGTCTAGCAAAACAAGGTTCTCTTACATTACAAGGAGTCTCAGATGCAACACCACAGGATTTGGTAGCGACAGCGGAAGTCAAGCTACTCTGGAAATTTGACTCTGTCCTTGCGGATCTAGCAAAGCAAGGTTCCCTCACATTACAAGGAGTCTCAAATGCCACACAGGACTTGGGAGCGACTGGGGCAGTCAAGCTACCCTGGAAATTTATTGTAGACAGATAACTAGTGAGAAAAAAAAGAATCATTTATGAAAAGTTACATTAAAGAATATGTTCATGGTTGAGGAATCTTGAAGCAGGTAAAAATCAAGCAATTGTAGGAACCTTTTCAAGAGAAGTTTGCCTCATAAAAGGACCGAGAGATTCAGATGCTTGGCGTGCAAAATAAATTTTATTATCAAATCTTCGGGGCACACCGCAGTTCTGAAATGATGAGTAAATAAAGAATTAATACAAAAGTGACTACACTCTGTTTGTCTAATAATGAAAACTCATAAACATGATCCGATCAATTTCCTTCATTTTCCAGCATTTTCTCAGGAACCAACCATAGCGAACGGGAAAAAGAGGGAGGATCTCAAAAAGGAGATACCATAGGTTGAAGATGGTTTGGTGAGATATCATCCTTTGATGCTGATTGGCCAGGGGAAGTGAAGCTACCCTGGAAATTTATTGTGGACAGATAACTAGTTAGAAGAACAGTTCGTAGAAATACATAAAAGAATATGTTCATAGTAATGGAATCTTGAAAAATGTAAAAAAATAAAGCAATTGTAAGAACCTCTTCCAGAGAAGTCTGCCTCATAAAAGGACCAAGAGATGCAGACGCTTGGCGCGCAAAATAAATTTTATTATCACATCTTCGGAGCACAGAGTTCAAACTACCACTGCAGTTCTGGAACGGATGAGTAAACAAAGTAATTCAGAATCAGATGAAATCAGATATGTGTATAGAAGGGGATGTTATATACAAGTTATTTCACTATTGCGTTTATTTCATCAAAACCCATGAACATAATACGATCATTTTTCCAGCACTTTCTGGGAAACCAACCATAGTGGTAAAAAAAAAAAAAGGGAAAAATATCCAAAAAGGGAAAAGAAATACCATTGGGAGAAGATGCGCTGGAGAGATATCATCCTTTGATGCAAAGTGAGCTGCGATCATATGAACTCTGCGTCTCACCACTTCACTCTCCATTCCTCCGACTTTAGCAAATCAGAAGTGAAAAGGATGATGGCAAAGAAAATAGCTTTTGCAGCTAAAATGAAAGGATGAAGAATTAAACATCTTTAATCAGAAGGAGATATTTTTCATAGAAAAGAACAGCGATTTTTCCCTTCCCGCCGTCGAGACAAGAACAGTGATTGGGACCCATTGAATCTAGATATCTTTGGTCTGGTAGATTAGGGGCCACCTGGACCCGAATCCATAGGATACTGGCGTGACACGCGTTTCGGTCACCTTTCTGAATTTTCCTGGACCAAAAAAAATTACCACGCATCATCCAAACAACGAAATAAAATGATTTCAGTCGAAAATTCAATATAAAAAAAAAATTATAATAAGGTCTCACTCAAAAAATTAAATACAAATTTTTTTTTAAATCATCAAATTATCTGTAGTCCCAAAAGATCTAAATGTAAGAGGTTTTTAATTATCAAATTACTCTTTTTTTTAAGTATATATTGACAATTGAAAGAGTACGATGTAACGATTAACAATTATCGCGGCACATATTAACAATTTTTTTTTTTCAACACATCACAAAAACATAATGTGGGAGTTGTCAATATTTACTGCAATAGTTATTAATCATTACATTTTAAATTATTAACGACTGCACTCTCAGTTGTTAATACATACTTAAAAAAAGATAATTTAGTAATTAAACAAATAAAATTTTTTATGATAAGGTTTTTTAGGATTTCAGAATGATTTAATAATTTTAAAATTTTTAATATTTAATTCTATTATAACTTTTCCTGTAGAAAAGTAGAAAGAGCGAAGAACTTCGTAATTTTGAAATTAGACATCAAATTAAAACGGTATTGTCTTTTCAACGATTTTATTTGGTATGATGCAACAATTCTGACAAATTGGGTTAATTGTATTCTTGAAAAGGAGAGATGGCTGACAATTTGGGTTAATTATCATTTCCTTGACATGATAAGTGATCTCAGCTGGTTATATGAAAAGAACAAACTCAACATGTGAAACCACCTTAATCAAATGATTTTTATAACTCCATTAGACAAACAGGTTGGTTTAATCATCTTCATTAGTAATTTAGTATTCAAAGGATCCCCAATCTTTGCACAAAAGAACAAACAATTTGGGGAAAAAAAAAACCACCAAGCTTCCCAGTCTCACTTAGCTTTGTCTTACTAAGCTTAGGGGACACATACATCATCAGTTTTGTCTGCACTATATCCGTTTCACAAGGCCACTGTCAATCATGCATGCTTTTTGACTTTCTTGTCTTAAATTATGACCCTTTATTTTTATTAATTATACCCACTTGGTGGAGCAACCTTTCTTTTGGGCCAAAATAGCATCCTATGAGAGATATACAGTTCTAGAATGAGTTAGTCTTATTAAACTAACAGTATAATAAAAAGGATTAGTCTCTCACAACATAACGAATCAAGATTCGAATTCCTACTGGGAGAGGTGTCTATATTTAGTAGTTGCTTGACAGTGTCTCGAATAGGATTGTTTCCAACAGAAAAATACTTATATTTTAGTAAAAAAAGTGTTAGTCTTATTTATAAGATGCACATAGAATATTTCTAGAATTTTAACTATTTTATTTTATTTTTGTCCTTACTGATTAAATGTTGTATGAGTGCATTAATTGTTTCACTCATTGTCTCACTGTGTTCTCATAAATAAAAATCTTTTTAATTTTTAAAAAATAAAATAGATTTTTTACATTAAGTTACCGTAAACCAATTTTAATCTATTTTTGATGCAATGATTGCAAAGAGTAAAATGTAAATATTTTGTTTTGAATTTGGAGAGCTTTCAGGACTGAACTCACCAAAATATTTTTTTTTAACCAAAAGAAGAATGTAAATACTTATAAAATTTTGGGAAAACAACTCTTATATATTCCAACTTTACAAAGCCAATAAGAAAGACTTCAAATGGCAAGAAATTAAAATTTTAATATGTAATAGATGGCCAAAAAAAAAATCTAGCATGTAATAATAATGGTGGCATCATATCGTTCTTTTGCAGCTTCTGGGAGAGTGATTTCCTAACAAGTAACTAGTCCGATGATTTAAAAAAATTTGAGTAGTAATTTTGAAAAAGCCATGATACAATGGATGAAAGAAAGTTAAAACTCGATTGTTGATAGTAGAATCTTTCTGTTTTACATTTTTTTCTTTTGGCCAAACTTTACAATAGTATCTTAATCTTTTAATTATTATCATATATTACTTTCGGTCTCTAAAACAAGATCTTATAAGTAGTACGAAGGTAATATTTTATATGATATGATTTTCCCTTCACAATTTTTTTTGGGATGAAAAATGGGGTTTTTCCTGACAGTTTTGTTATTACAGTCCTTTTCTGTTTCTATTTTGGGAAAATTTTGATTTGATTTTATTTTATAAGCTGAAATATTACGGTGGTGGGTAAAAAATTTCTAAAAAAAAGGAGAAAAAAGTAATTCACTCGAAGAATCCCACTAACTAACGCCCAGCTAACCCACCAAAATCTGATCTCTCACATTTTCTCCATTAATCTATCAGGTAAGTTCTGTGTTCACCTCGGCTTATATGATGATCAAGCTCTGGCTTCGTTGTAGATTGATAATAATTGAATGTAATCGAGAGTTGAATGGCATTATTTTCCCCTTGATTTTCTCGAATATGAATGCATTGACGAACGATGCCTTTTATCACAATAATTGATGTTTGTTTTGTTGGCATTCTTCAAGTTTGGCAAGTTTGAGCTGAATTTCGTGGTGGAACTGGGATGTTATCTGTTATTTATATTTTCATCACCACGATCTGCATTATGGAATATAAAATAAAATATTTGCTGATTTTCAACTCTTTCTTGGTTATAAGTTTCCTTGGAGTTTTCCCATGATTATGGCATTTTTCTCTTGGGTGTAACTGTGAACTGTAACAGAGTATTTTGACATTAATTGGATTTATTTCGAATTAAAATAGAACTGGAGAAAAAAAAAAATCTTTCTCTACCGTGGCTCACTGTGAAGCAGATAACCCTGTCGTGTAGTATGCGACAGTCTGACATATGACAACACTGTAAATTGCATCTAAACACTATTCTATATATTTGCCTCTTCATTGTATAATGTTTTGTATCTATTAGTGCTTTTAGGAAATTTTCTCTGCAAGCAATTTTTATATTACAGCCGCATTCAAATTGAACTTTGAAAGTTACTATGAGAATTTTGACTTGCGCAGATAAAGCTGGAATCTTTAGATTGATCCAAGGAAGAGCTCTAGAGCAGTTGCTTCATTTAGGTTGAGATCTTATATTGGTATCTTTGTGAAGATGGTCGAAATTTAGTTACTGGTTATTAGTTCATCCAGATATCCAAACCTGAACAGTTGTTCATATGCTAGTTGTTTTAAGATAACTTATGTTATCGGACTTGGTGGCAAGTGATGATATTAATAGGCCATTGGCTGTCCTGAATCGCGTTGGTGTATATAAATGGCTATAACTCGATGTGATCCTACAGAGTGACTTGGATTCAGAAACAGAAGTTTTTAGAAAAACAATCAGCAACGATGATAGTGGAAGCCTAGTTTTCCCTGCCTTATTTGCCTTTTCTTTTTGAGAGATTTCATTTTCAGGTTGGTATAATGAAAGATGGAGTGTTCAATGTGAATTAGCAATTTGTTAATGTGGATGAGATAGAAGACCACTCTGATTCTGAATGCCTTTTCTCTGAAAGGAATGAACTTTGAAGTAAACCTGTAGATAGAGACTCTTTCGATAAAGGGATTATGCATATGAAAGGTATTGGCAACATGGATAATGAATCTGTTCATTTAAGGGCTACTGGAACTGAGAAGCACGTGCCTTTTGACATTGAAAATGGGACTGCAAGGGGTACAATTAGTGTTGGCTCCCCCATATCTGTGAATTCTCACGGATCATTAGAAAAAATCTCCAGGAATTCATTTTCTGTCTTGAAGACGTTGTTTTTCATACTTCTGTGGTACTCTTGCAGCCTATTTTTGACCTTGTAAGTTCCTTCTAATAGATGCCCTGCTTAATGTTATTCCTGATGCAAATTCTTCCTCCTTTATTTCTTATTCGGAAATGGTTTGAGCAGGTATAATAAAACTCTGTTAGGACATGATTTGGGAAAGTTCCCAGCTCCTTTATTGATGAATACTGTTCACTTTGCAATGCAAGCTGTGGTATCAAAATTCATCATTTGGTTTTGGTCTCATAAATTCCCAACTAGTGTGGTCATGTCTTGGAGTGATTACTTTTTGAGAGGTAAACATTCAATTTCTCTGTAATTCTTATTCTGTAAAATTTTGAATTCAAAATTTTTTATGATTCATCTGATTTTGAAATAGAATCCATAAATTTAAAGGATATGATTGACCTGGGAATCAGCCAACCGATATCTTGAATGAAGGAGGAAAGTAAGGAAATAAACACATAGCAAAGATAAACTGATATATAGAAATAAACAAAGGAAAGAACATAAGTTAACTACGATGCTTAAATTCCATGATAAATAGGGGACAATCAGGAAATGGAAGAACCCATAATTATGAGATTCTAACATATTCCTTTCTTTCTCTGTTCTCTCTGTTTTAGTTTGCTAAGCTGGCTAGCAGAGCTAAATCACTCTAATCATCTTTCCTTCTCATGTATAATTTGTGACTCTTGTTTTTCTTTATGCCTGACATCTCGGAATAATGTGTATTCTTTAGTTGTAAGTCATTGGCGACAACTCTTGTGAGTTAGTCATTGTTTTTTTTTCCTTTGCCTTCCCAGGATTCTAGTGGAATTGTTATTCAAGCCGTGTAACCACCATAATGGCTTATAACATGGAGGCATTGTGTGTTAATTTGGTCCCCCCCCCCCCGGGTGGTGGAGAAGTGGTTTTTGGTTTTGCAAGAAGAGCACTCAGATGAACTAAAAAATTTACCTCAGAAAAAAAAGAAAAAAGGTGTTTTCAGCTTATTCTGTAAAATAAAAAATCCCCCCCCCCAAAAAATTCTTCAGCCAAAACCAAATCTTGTATATTTCTTGAAACTTAAGCCATAATTATCTATATC